CCCAAACTACTCCCATCAGCCCTAGAAATGAACTGACAAATTCTCTGTAATTTAATAACACTGCTTTTAAGGCTGATAATATGAGCGTTAGTGTGGCTAGTTATAGAAGCAGGAAGATCTTTGGATTAAAATAAGTCTGCAGATTTCACAATCTATTTAGATCTAGCTGATGAATTTAGAAACAAAAATAAAGACTAATTCAGGGTTTAAATTAATCTTATTTAATAAAATTTAAGATATTTTAATAAAATGTTTTTCTAATTTTATTTCATCTTCCCAATATAACAGTACTAAGGTTAAAGTATGACTATCTTTTTAAAAAATTTTTAATTGATTTTTTTAGAGAGAGGGAGATGTGAGAGAGAAACATCATTTGGGGATCAAACCTGAAACCTGGGCATGTGCTTGGTCAAACCACTGACCTTTGGGTGCATGAGGCAACGCTCAACCAACTGAGTCACGCCAGCCCGGGCAAAGTATGACTATCTTTAATGAACTGTGCCATTTAGCCATCAGCACTTATGATTCAAAGTCATACTAATTAACAGTGAAGACAACTTCCAGATACTGTGCTGTAAACTGAACTTGAACTCTGACAGTTATTAATGGATGAAAATGCAGAGGTAGGAAAAACAAACAGTTGATAAGCAATTTATAAACATTTGTGTTTCCTATAGAAAGTCTATGAAGAATACTTTCTACTTCATGTTTTCAGAGATTTATTTTTACAACATACTAAAGATCACACTATAATTATTACTACTCAGTAACGTAAGCCGGAATAAAGTTTTAGGGATTCGATGAAAGAAAAGCACTCTATTGGAGAAAATAAAAAACTTTTAATGGTGTGGGTTTTTTTCAAACTATAAGTACAAAAGTCCATTTCTCAGCCATCAACCAACTCCAAATAATTAGGCTCAGAATAAGCAGATAAAAGGCCCTAATTTAAGAAGAGCTGAAAGCATAGGATCCTCTGTATTACTGTGGCCAATCCCATCACCCAAGGTTTACTCACTTCCGTGGCATCTTAAAAGCCACCCACTGCCAATCAAGAATCCCTGCATCTCATTTTAGGATGAAATCATCCTGGATTTAGAGCGACTTTCTCTTAGGACCCAGAGTGTGTGCTTGGCTGTCCCTGTGGCCTCTCACAACTGCCTGGGGTGGGCACCGGCGCCCAGGGCCCTCTCCCACCTCCAACTGGTGAACTTCCCTGCTGCTGCTGATCCAGCTCTGACCCTAACTCTGGCACTTCTTGGAGATTTTAAAAGGAAAAAATGTGGGGAGGGGTGGGACTTAGGCCAGTGTCACCCTGATGGTAACATAATGCGAAGTCTACTTTGCACTGACACCACCTTCCAGAGGGCATTTAGGTGAAAAAGGACCCCTTGAGCCGAGTGTCACAGAAGTCAGTATGGAGGAGGACAAAGACTCAGATCCGGCACCCCAGGGAAACCAGCTGTGACAAGGGCCTCCACTCTGACTCTGACTCCTTCTTGCCCCTTAGACCTAACATCAGAACATTCAGGAACTTTTCCTGGTGATTTGTCTATTGGAACACAACAGAATCAGACAAAGTAACTGTCACCTTCTGGCTCTGGGGCTCAAACAGTGAACCAAATAACTGAGGGAGCAGCAGGTCTGCAGCCAAGAGGATTTCGTCCTCACTAAATTAGACACTGAGGAAGAAAGCTAATATCAGACACAGGTCCTTCTCCAGAGGGAGCCACAGTCTCAGAGCTATCCTAACACATACCTGAGCGTGGACATGAATTACACAAGTAAATCAATAATTGATCCAGTAAGCAACGAGAGGCTCACAGGGAAGATTCTTTTACGCTGCTTTAATCTGAAGAGACTTCCTTGCAAGCATTAAAACATCCTGGGCTTTACATTGTGATTATCAGTTGCTCATGAGAGAACTATATTGGACAGGGGAAGAAATAAAAATAAAAAAACAAAGTGACAGTGGAACCAGGCAGAGATCAGCCTGATAGGATGATGACAGGTGAGAGGAATGGGCTAGAGTCTGAAGGAAGCATCTGATAATTAAAACATACATGGGGTGCCCAGCCTGTGTGGCTTAGTGGTTGAGCGTCAACCTATGAACCAGGAGGTCAAGGTTTGATTCCTAGTCAGGGCACATGCCTGGGTTGTGGGCTTCATTCCCAGTGGGTGGCATGCAGGAGGCGGCTAATCGATGATTCTCTCTCATCATTGATGTTTCTATCTCTCTCTCCCTCTCCTTTCCTCTCTGAAATCAATAAAAACATTAAAAAAAAAACATACATGGAGAGTATAAGATCCAGATCACAGCAGGCTCCCAGAGCACAGTGATCTTTTCAGAGGGAAAGTTAATATGCAACATGTGAGTGAAAGCCAAGTGCAAAAATATTATGCCATGAACAGGTGAGGCAATGTTTATTTTCCAGATGGGATGATTCTCAGTAATGATGAACTGGTAGTAAATAAAATAATAACAGCAGTGCCTAGCGATTATGCCCAGCACTCCTCTCCCAGGGCATGGGTGACAGCAACTCTAACCAAGCAGAACAGCTTAAAACAGAACCCACCAGTCCTCTCTGGGGAAGCAGGAAGCAGGCAGCAGGCGCTGTGCTGAGTGTGATAAGAACTTGATAAGAACCAGGTAACAAGAGCCCTGACTTAAACCAGGTGCTACTAGTGAGTCTGCAGGGAAGAGCTGCAGCTGAAGGCTCTCAGTTGTGCCCTGGAAACTTTAAAGAGCTCGGTGAGATAAAAGGCCAGGGTTCCTCCCCAGCCAGCCCACTGCGGAGAAAGGAGTTCTCCCTGGTGGGCAGTCCAACAAGCATTCAAGTTTCTCTTGCCTGGAAAATCAGTGACCAGAGTCCAGCCAGAATCTGCACTCCTTTCTGAGAGTCAGCATATCAGCTTCCAACTTTACAACCGAAAGCATTGCCTTCGTTGTCCACGCAGCTGAGGTGTGCTTCTAGGGAATGCTGAGATGTGGACTAGACCAGCAGTCGCCAGCCTTTCGGACCTCACGGACCACCAGTGGTCCACGGACTAGACCAGCCGTGGGCAAACTACGGCCCGCGGGCCGGATCCAGCCCGTTTGAAATGAATAAAACTAAAAAAAAAAAAAAGACCGTACCCTTTTATGTAATGATGTTTACTTTGAATTTATATTAGTTCACACAAACACTCCATCCATGCTTTTGTTCTGGCCCTCCGGTCCAGTTTAAGAACTCATTGTGGCCCTCGAGTCAAAAAGTTTGCCCACCCCTGGACTAGACTGTAGCCATGGGCAGAGTCAGGCCCAGGTTCAGGACACCCTATAGTAAGATAAGAGGCTGTCAATGAGGTGAATGAATGAATGAATGAATGAATGAATGAATCATAGTTATCAAAGCTGGGAGACTCCCAAGCAATAATAAGGGCAAGTCACAGTCAAAAAGTCAGACACACCCTAGCCGCTTTGGCTCAGTGGATAGAGCGTGGGCCTGCACTAAAGGGTCCTGGGTTCAATTCTGGTCAAGGGCACGTGCCTGGGTTTCGGGCTCAATCCCCAGTAGGGGGGTGTGCAGGAGGCAGCTGATCAATGATTCTCTCTCATCATTGATGTTTCTCTCTCTCTCTCCCTCTCCCTTCCTCTCTGAAATCAATAAAAATATATATATATATATTTTTTTTTAAAGTCAGACACCAGGAAGCTAACAAACACAGGGACTAGGT